AGACTCCTGCTTAATAAATGCATGTTAATTGATTGTTACTCTACAGGTTTATATATACTATATAGGCCTGGCACTCTATTTCACTGGGTCACCTAGTTGCCTCACTACTGCCATTACTACTACTACTACTACTATTAGTACCACTACTAGCAGTTAGAGTCCTGCTTAATAAATGCATGTTAATTGATTGTTACTCTACAGGTCTATATATACTATATAGGCCTGGCACTCTATTTCACTGGGCCACCTAGCTGCCCCATTACTGCCACTGCCACTGCCATTGCCACTACTACCACTACCACTACTACTACTACTACTACTGCTACTACTACTAGCAGCAGTTAGAGTCCTGCTTAATAAATGCATGTTAATTGATTCTTTATGATGGCTCACCAAATTCAGAGCCTCCATACATCTCTTTGCTTCCCAATATTTCCTTTCAGAAAGGGATGTGGTAGAGCCAGCTCTAACTGGCTTGGGAGAGCTGATTGTTAAATTTTCTGTGTGTGCATTTATAGCTCAGAAATGGACAATGGTTATAAATCAGGGACTGATTTTTTTTTATTGTCTAGACTTAACAAAGTGCTAATAATGTGGATGAACCTTAAAAGTGCGTGTGCATGATTTTTTTTTCTCCAGTGAATCTCGTTATTATATTTACCTGCACACAACTCTATTACTCTATAAACATTACTTGAGCTCCACAGAAGTATAGCAGAAGGCTCAGGAAATGAAGTTATTACCAGAGTGGAAGCCTGGCTAATTAATAATGATGATGATAATAATAATGATGATGACAGCTGGCATTTATATAGCATTTTAAGGTTTGCAAAGTGCTTCATATCCATTATCTCTTTTCAGCTTTACAAAACCCCCTGCCTGTTTTTAATTGCTGCTTTTCTAGGCAAATCCTGGCCCAGGACCAGTGCCTTTGGGCCAGAACAAAGTCTTCCTGGCAGTGGGTGGACTTAATCACAGATCTATGTCTAAGAGAAGGTGAACTTTGAGTAGGGCTGTGTTCATAGGGAATTGACTTCTTTCCATTCTCCCTCCCTCTAGTCTCTCCCCAACCCCACCTGCAGAAAACTTCACCCCCAACTCACCTGGCATATTGGTCAACAGGTGCCTGCCAAGTCAGGGTTATGAAGCTTCAGGGGATATTTTTTATTTTTTGGCATCTAGGGCCTTCAGTTCATTAAAAAATGAAACCATCATGTATTTAGTACCTATTTTGGATAAAGAAGCAGCAGTGAGGTTCCTCACCACTTGAAACTTGTGGTCCAGTAGGAGGAATGAGATACCAACACAAATCATAGATTCGTAACTGGAAGCGACTTTCAGAGATCACATAATCCAACCCCCTAATTTTACAGATAAGAGAAATCAGTGGAATGTGGTGACTTGTCCAAGACCACCCAGAAAGTAAGTGGCAAAGCTGGGATTTCAACCCAAGTCATCTTATATTAAATTCAATACTTTTTTCCACTATGTGATTCTACCTCTTAATTTTTTTTCCTTCCCAGGATTGAATCTCCCTTTCTCCCTTCTCCATCATCTCTGATTTTATTGGTGTAGGGAAGTCACAGAGAGAAAACTCCCTCTATTAATATAGGAAAGCTTCAAATTCAGCCTCAGACACATTATGACTTTGGGCAAGTCACTTTGATGTGGTTTAGGGGTGTAGGGACCCCAGAATACTGAGGTACAGGGTGGAGTTGTCTAGGAAGAATTCATGAACTTAAGTAGTCTTCCAGTCAGGTGGCAAAAAGTTTATTACAATGCTAATATGGCAGGCAGAGCTCCCTAGGGAACTTGCAATTTAACAGAAATGATGCTAAAGCTTACATAGGAAAAGTAGTGAATTATGTGCCAAGTATGCTAATTAGATGATAACATACAACTTTGGTCACAGATGTCATTCACTACTGAAAACTGGAGAGGGGGTTTCTTAAGGGGTGTAGGGGTGTGTTTTTGATCTGTTATATCTGTAATAAGATAGCTTCAGGAGTTGATGTCTTTAACTTGATCTCTGGATCGTATATGATAACTGTGGGAATCAGTATATGATAGTTTTGTTGATACAAGACAGTCTCGTTCATACAAGGGCAATTCTACAGAGGCCAGCTTGTTCTTGCAACAGGGATAGTGAGATATTTTGCCTCACTGGGCCCCCTCATGACTTATTGCCAGAGACAGGGTCTTTGGGCTCGGGAAAAAATTGTCAGGGGATAGTGTTTTGAGGCTAGGGAAATATAGGATCTTGGAAGTGGGCTCAGAGTACAAGCACCTAAGCACCCCATCAACTTTACCTCTGTCTACCTCAATTTCCTCAACTTTGAAATGTGAATAATGATAGCACCTACCCCCTAAGGATTTTGGAAGATCAAATGAGACAGTATTTGTGAAGTTCTTAGTGTAGGACATGGCACATTTTGTCTGACTCTTCATGATCCCATGGATTTCTGTCCATGGAATTTTCTTGGCAAAGACAGTGGAGAGGTGTCTTGCAATTTCCTTCTCCAGTGGATCAAGACAACAAAGGCTAAATGACTTATCCAAGGTCACACAGCTAAGAAGTTTTGGAGGCTGTATTTGAACTCGGGTCTTCCTGACTCTGAGACTAGTATTCTATCTATTGTCCCCCTAGTCACCCTTCTAGCTGCATGGCACATAGTAAGTACTTAATAACTCCCTCCCTCCTTCCTTCCTTCGACTTTTAGGACAACCTCCATATAGTAAAACAAACCAACTTATTGACTATGTCAGATAACGTACGGCTCATTTTAAAAAATGTTTGCTCATGATAGTAAGTTCATGATTAAAAGAAAAAAAAAGGTAAGGGGAGGTGCCAAATTGTAGAGGACTTTGAATATCAGGCAAAAAGGGCTGGCCTTTTCCTAGGTAAATCATTGAAATTTTGGGAGCAGGGTAGTGGTATGCCCTGATCCGTACAGAAACAAACTTATTTTTGGCAGCGCGCTGAAAATGAGTAGATTATTCTGGAACTGGGAGAAAGTAGAGGGAGATTGCAACAGCACAAATCAGACGCAAAGAGAAGCTTGCACCAGGGCACAAACTGGGGCAGCGAATATCTGCAGCAGGGCACGCAAATGAAGGTGAAAAGCAAACTGGTCCTGCTTGCGTACCGATATATATTTTTAAATCATGCCAGGCACTGCCCAGTTTCGGAGACGTTGGCTACTGTTGCACTGCAGGAGGACCAAAGGGGGTACACAACAAACCTGGGGAGGGAGGACGAAGGAAGGGAAGGAAGGCGAGATAGCCCTGACCTGCTTGGGGGTCTAGTCCAATCAGAGAGCAGGAAGGCGAGGCGACTCGCTTCTCATTGGATGGCTAGGTGTGGGGGCGTGGCCGGGCGTGCGCTCCGCCTTGAGTCCAGTGGTTGGCTTCATCGTTCTCGCAGAATGGAAAGTCTAGACCAATCAGAGAGCAGAAAAGCTAGGATACCGGATCCTGATTGGGCAGCTCGGGGTGGAGGAGTGGCCCAGCGCGCGCTCGACCTTGAGCTCCCCGGGAACAGCTGGGCGGTCTAGCCCAATCATAGAGCAGAAAGGCGAGGGTACCGGCTCCTAATTGGGCATCTTGGGACGGGGGCCTGGTCCGGCTCGCGCTCTTGTCCAGGTCCCTGCGCCACACGACGCATTCGTGTTCCGTTGCTCGTGCTGTTGTCTGTTGGAGGAGCCCTCGCCGCCCTCGCCGCCCCGCTTCTGTGCACCATGCCGGTGGACCTGAGCCAGTGGACCGGGCCCCTGAGCCTGCGGGAGGTGGAGGAGAAGCCGCAGCGCCCGCTCAGCGTCAAGTACGCGGACTGCGAGATCCTCGAGCTGGGTCAAGTGCTGACGCCCACGCAGGTACCAGGCCCAGCTTGTGGCCCTGAGCTGGGACGGAGGCCAGGAGCTCTGCGGGGGGCAGCGAGGGAAGGGCCGGAGGCCGTGCCTTGGTGCGTACCGGCTCCGAGGCTGGAAGATCTCCTGCTGCAGAGTCTGCAGGGCCCGGGGCCGGCGAGTGCGGCCTGCGCTTCCATCCAGGCCCACCCGCTCGTCTTACAGGCGGGGAAACTGAGGTTGCTCCTCCCCACCCCCCAGTCGGCGTCTCCTGGTCAGTTACAGCAATTGACCAGACACGTTTAATGAAGTAATTGAGGCCTGGGTCCAGGAAGGGAAAACCGCAGGGCTTAGGATCAGAGACTTGGGGGTGCAAGGGACCCTCCAAGGGCATTTCACAGGTGAGGGGACCAGCCCAGAGTCACTCCGCTTCCCTGGGCCCCCTCGGGGCAGCCTCACCCCTTCCTGGGGTGGGTCCTGGGGCCAGTGGATTCCAATGTCCCTTGGAGCACTTGCGGGGTGGGGGTGGGACCGGGACCCCAACTGTGGTTAGGATGGTGGGATCAAAGACTCAGAGCTGGCCGTCAAGCCCAGCCTTTGAGGCACACTGAGGTCTAGGGGGGTGACTCTCCCAAGGTCACCCAGTTAATGAGCAGCAGATCTGGGATTTGAACTCAGGTCCTCAGACTCCTCCTTAGGCATCTTTGTGCGAGGCCATCCTGCCTTGAGAAAGGGGGCAAGGGAAAGAGGAGGGGGAGGGAGGAGCAGTCCTGCATTTTTCTGTTTTTGTCTGGTCCAAAAGTCCTTTGTGTTTGTCTTTGCATTACTTAACAGGGTTGCTGGCACACTTTGGAGCTTAATAAATGCTTGGTTTGGGTCTTTGAGGAGGTGGTAACCAGGCAAGGCCCTAGAGCAAACCCTGCAAAGTAGCTGGGACCGCCAAGGCAGGAGAGAGATTCTCCTTCTGTTATTCCAGGAAGAAGAAAACATTCCCTCTGATAATGTAGAAGCTCCTTTCTGCAGGGGCTTTTGTCTTGCCCCCAAGGACCTAGCCCAGTGCCTGGCACAGAGGGCGTAGACCTGCGATTTCACTGGTAGAGGAAGTGCCCTCTGGCAGTGTACCAAGCCTTCTCTTCTACAGTTCTGCCTGGAGCCATGAGAAGGTAGCATCACGCAGCCAGTATTTGTCAGAGGTTGGACTTGAACCCAGGTTTTCCTGACTCCTAGGTTGGCTTTCTAGCCACTAACTATTGCAGTAGTCTGTGGGTGATTCTGCTTGCCTCAAGTCTCTCCATTCAGCCACCAAAGCGATTTTCCTAAAGCACAGGTCTGATTATGTCACACCCTCCTCAGTAAACCCCAGTGACTGTCACCTCCAGGAGCAAACACAAAATGCTCTGTTTGGCATTCAAAGCCCTTCTGTAGCTGCCTCCTACCTTTCCAGTCTTCTCACACCTTACTCCCCAGTATGTGACACTGGCCTTCTTTCAGGTCTCAAGTAAAATCCCACCTTCTACAGGAAGCTTTTCCCAGTCCATCTTTTTTTTTAAAATAAGTTTTTGTTGATATCTTCTATTTCTTACATCACCGTAGTGATCTCAAGTATTCCTCCCCCTTCCAAAGCATCATTACATAAAATAAAAATTACCCCGTGAGCACTGGCCCCGGAGTCAGGAGGACCTGAATTCAAATTCTGTCGCAGAGGCATGATACTCACTAGCTGTGTGACCCTAGGCAAGTCACTTAACCTTGATTGCCTTAAAAAAAAATCCCTGTAATCAGCAGTGACAGCCAGTTCCTGTGTCCTCTCCTTTTCTATTTTGTTGATATATGTTTATGAAAATATTTTTCCCCTGAGGACTTCTTTAGCTGCATCCTAGAAATATTGGTGTAGTGTTTTATCATTATCATTTTCTCTTACATAGTTATTGTTTATATAATTTGTTCTTTGACTCATTATTTAGGATTTCATTGTAAAGTCTCCATTTGAGGCTGTGTCTTTTCTTTGTGGTTCCTGAACCAATTATTATTTTTTTGTACTATGGTCTATAAAGTTCCACGTAGTGTTGAGAAATATGTATATTTGCTGTTCTATTTAGATAGTAAGAGTTAAGACTGATCGTATGGAGAATGTGGAGAAAAGAGAGAGGCCAGATGATTATAGGGGGTAATGAATTAGAGAATGAGGGTATAGAGGAGACAGAAAAGGTGGATGGATAATGAAGAGAATGAGAGAAATCCTTTTTGGAAATAATGAATATTTAAAATAATGAAAATTTAAAAATCTGTGAACAGACCTAGTTGAAGAGGAGGAGAGGAAGGAGGAATTTATTTAACTGAGAGGAAAAAAAGAGGAGAAGAATTATGTAACCAAATAAAAGCAGGAGAGAAAAAGAATAAGCAGAACTCCAGAGGGGAAAGAGGGTAACAAAATAGAGGAGGGGATCAGGGTTAGGAGAAGAGAGCCAGTGGGAACAGGGCCACCTTTAAAAAAAAATAAAGATTAAAGTAAGTCAAGGAACATAATACTGTTTTTACAGCAGGAGAGAGGGAAAATCATAACTTGGGGGAAAAGCAATATTAGAGACAGAGAGGAAAAAATAAACCTTTCCTAACTTTAAATGTGAGTGGAGTACACAATCCAACAACATGAGAAAGAATAAGTGATTGATTGGATAAGAAACCAAAACCCTACAATCTGTTGCTTGAAAGAAACACATTAAAAAACAAAGACATACACAATATAAAACAGATGATGGGGAAAAAAATTTACTATGCATCAAGTGAATCTAAAAAAACAAGGAATTGCTATCATGCTATCTGATAAAGCAAAAAACATCCAAAAAATAAAAAGGGATAAACAAGGAAACTGTATTATGCTGAAAGGAACCATAGAAAACAAACCAGTGTTAATAATAAAAGATATTCTCCAAATGCCTCAGCAACCAAATTTCATAAGGGAAACATCAGAGCTACAAAAAGACAGTAACACAATAGTGGCAGGACACTTTAACATCCCCGTCTCAGGTCTGGATAACTCTAACAGAAAGGTTTTAAGAGGGCGGGGAAGGGTAGAGGGAACATTCTTGGAGAAACCAGCATTAAGACTCTTTCAGATGACCCTGTTCCCACTGGCTCTCTTCCCCAAACATTGATCCCCTACTCTGGTTTGTTGCCCTCTTTCCCTTTGGAGTTCTGCTTATTGGTTCATTTTTCTCCCCAGCTTTTATCTGGTTATATAATTCTTCTCCCCTTTTTTCTTCTCAGTCATAAATAGATTCCTCCTTGCTCTCCTCCCTTTCACCTAGGTCTATTCATGAGTTATAAATTTTCAGTAGTTGTGCCCCTTTCCAAAATGGATTTCTCTCTTTCTCTTCATTATCCACCCTCCTTTTCTGTCTCTGCACTCTCATTTTCTGGTTCATGACTCATAATTATCTGATCTCTTTCATTTCTCTGTATTCTTCATCCAATCACGACTTCTAAGATTTCAGGCTCTCTGCTCTAGGCACTTTCTGCATCTGCCTTGTAGGGCTTGCCCTATGGATTCCCCTTTTTCATTGTGCCCCATTGTCAGAATAACACCAATTAATTCCAGGTGTCAGACAGGACACTGCCCCATGGTAGGGGCATATTTTCTGAATATGTGACCCCCACTGAACTGTATCTTCTAATCTTGACCTTTTTTCTCCATCTGCCTGGAAATCTCCTGTGTTTATGCTTTCCTGCGCCTCCAGGTGCCAGTTGTCCCCAGGGGTTCCAACTTCCCCCTCCCAGAGATAGTCTGCATAGATTTTTCAAGCACCAGATCTCCCCAGGTCGCACCAGTGCAAGGTCTGCATCTACTTTCACAGACCATCTCTTTAGGGGCATTCATCAGTGGTCCCACAGCCAAAGCGAGGCCTTGTTCTCCCTGCCTCCCTCTTTTTTCAGTCTTTCCTCTTTCTCCTCCCCTACTCCCATGGAGCCTCTTCTGTTTCTGAGACCACAAGGGTCCTCTCCCCCTCATTGCTTGTCGCCAGCACAAAACGCATTCCTCTGGCCCCTTTGCCTGCGTTTTCGGGTACCCTGCCATATTGTAATATAATCATTGATTTACCTCACTGCATGGTGTTGCCAGATTCTATCCATAATGCCCCATACCTGCTCCTTATTGCTATCCCCACACAGCTTCCATTTTCACCGTCTCCTTGTATACAGTAGAAGGGGGTTTCTTACTGCTCTCTCTGCTGTCACTCTGTTGCTGTCCGTGACTGTTGCATTTAGTCACTCACTCCAGCATTTGTGTTGTTTGGGGTGATTGAGAAGCAGATCGTCTCTTTAGTCTTGGTTTTCTTTCAAAAAAAAGTTTCAAATGCCTCATTATTGGATGTCCATTTTTTTTTTTTCATTTTCGGTTAAGTTAAAATTTGCAGGCTAGGTCACTCTGAGTTGCATCCTGACCTCCCATTGCTGTTGGGAACGCATGATTCCATTCCCTCCTACGTTTTCTGGTGGGTGCAGAGAATCTTACGTTGTTCAAAATTCCTTTCCTTTGTATTTGACGGTCTTTCTTCTGATTGTGTATTCAATTTGTTTCTGAACTGAATTGTTAAATTTAACCACTATATGTCTTGAAGTTTGCAGCCTTGGGTTTTTTTTTTCCTTCTGGAGGTGATCTATGAATTCTTTCAACTGATATTTCCTTCTCTCTGTTTAGAAGTTCTGGGCAGTTCTCTTGTATTATTTCTTGCATTATAGTGTGAAGGTTTTTTGTCCTGTCATGTTCTTTTGGGAGACCTGTGATCCTTAGGTTGTCTCTATGCGTCCTATCTTTGAGATAATATGTTTTGCTTGCATAGTAAGTATATTTTCTTCTAATGTTCTTGTATTTTTTCTTCTCTTGTTCTAGGTTGTCCTTCACTTCTTTGTTTTTGCATTCCCAACCTATTGTTTTTTTCTGTCATTTCTTTGGTGAGGTTTGACTTTGCAGATTCCAGTTTTTCTATTCACCTCATTATTTTTGCTTTGCAGGACATAAGTTCTGTTCTCATAATTCCTTTTTTGAACCACTCAGGGACAACATGTTGTGGTTCCATGTTTTCCTTACGTTCACAGCATTGGATCATTTTCCTTTGTTTTGCAGTATTTATTCATAGCTGCCTGAATTCTTTTACTAGATCTGGAGGCCATATTTCCTTCTGTTGTTAATGTTTTCCCTATTGATTTCTCTGCTTATGTTCTAAGTCTTTGAATTTTTTTCTTCCTTAGATCTTTGGTAATTTCAGCCCCCCTCCCCCCCAATTTTCCCCAGTTTACTTTCTGGTTCTGATTTCTGTCCCATCTGATGGTGGTTTTCTTAGGGGCTGGCTCTTAAAGCATCAAAGCCTCCTCCCGTGCTCGGTAATTCATGGTTCACTAGCGTGGGTCTTGAAACGTAGTCTTGTAGGCCGAGTGACTTGTAGGTGGTCAGAACTGGCCGCCAGCTGTATTTGGTGCTCTTCATTCAGGCTTAGTAGAGTGCTGATTGCCCCTTTCATGACACAGTGTCCTGTCCTCCCTCTGTTTAGTTCAGAGAGCTACCAAGCTGGTGCTGTGGGGTTGGCCACCCTGGCACCAGCACTGGTGCTATAGGGTTGTGGTCCCCATCGGGTGTTTGGCCCTGAAGGGCAGCCGCTTGCTGCACTGGCTGTTTGTAGCTACCTGAGCAACCATGACACTGGAGAGAGGGAGAGAGATGGGGGTGTGGGTTTTGGTTTTCTTCCAAGCCCCAAACACGAGTCCTTGGTCTGCCAGGGGCTGAGTGGGCTCAGGGTGAGTGAGTGTCAGTTCGTTTTTTTTTTTTAACCTTTTGGGTCCTGGGTATCCTAAACCATTGAAACAGCTGAAGTTGCTTTATCTTTGGTGCATAATTTCTGTTTTGGAGGCTTGAGAGGTTGTGGGAATCAGGAAATGTCTGTTCCGTCATCTTGTTGTTCACAAGACCTGGAAGTCCTCCCAGTCCTTCTTAATTCTAGTACCTTTCCTCTTTTGGTTATTTCCATTCGTGTGTGTGTGTGTGTGTGTGTGTGTGTGTGTGTGTGTGTGTGTTTGTACACAGTAGTCTATATGTTGACTCCTTTATTAGATTGTAAGCTTTTGAGGGCAGGAACTTTCTTTTTTGTATTTGTGTACCCAGTGCTTAATAAATGTCTGTTGACTTACTGTTCAGTGCCTGTAATAAATGCTTATTGATTGATCCCCGATTGAGTCAAGGATACAGCCATAGGCACCGGCACTTAGCACATTGTAAGTGCTGAGTAAATGTTTATTGATTTACTGACTTTTCTCAGCAGTTCCCTTGTTCCCTGGAAGGGTTTGACCCCAATTTTAAACCTGTGTGTTGTGTGTGTGTGTGTGTATGTGTATCTATAAGTATACAGTTAGATGGATATAGATAGGCATAGATATAGATAGATTCATATACGTCCTTTTAAAAAGCAGAATTTATGCTTTTGAATTCCCTGCCCCTGGTTACTTGTCACTGAGCAAGTGAATGGAGACCAGAATGAGATGTCTTTTCCAGAAGTAGTTAAGCTGGGTCTGAATCATAGGATTCAGAGCTGGAAGGCCCCTCAGAGATCCTTCTTGGCCCCCACCCTTTACAACTGAGGATACAGGCCTCATGGAGGGAAGCAGTTTGCCCAAGGTCACCCCAGTAATTGGGAGCACCTGGGTTCCAATCCATACCATCAGATTCCACACCTTTGCAGTGGCCGAGGCAAAAGTTGCTGATTGGGACATCTTTTGGCAGCAGTTTTAATAAATATTCTGCTAAACAGCATGGATGGGTTTTGCTGCCTCCCCTCTTTCCCTCTCCTGATGAGAAAGAGAGAAAACACAAATTCATGACCTTTCATGCCCCCTCTTGCCAGCAGCGTCTGGCTGGAAGGTGGTATCAGCTCCTGTACACCTCTCCCCTGTGTGGCTGCTTCTGGACCTTGAAAGAAATCCTTTTGTAGGGTGGGGGTCAGGATAAGGTCCCTGGGACCTGTGCTTCAGCAGCAACGTGATGTTCTCTCTCCTGCTGCATAACAGAGTGAGTGGATAGAGAAAACCAGGGCCCAAAGAGGGCACTGGGGCAGTGGCCTGGTTCTTGGGCACCAGAGTGCAGGTAACAGCGTGACCCTCTGTTGCTATAGGTCTGACCCCCAGGCTGAGGGTGGCATGTCATTGTCCTCAGCATCAGTCTGGGCTTAATTTCCAGCTCTCCCACTCAATTGGTGTGACTTTGGACAAGTCTCTTTGCCTAAAGTGGTTGTGCCCTCTGTGAAATGGGTGAGAATGGCTAGTGTTTATAGTTTTGGAAAGCTTATCACGTATACAGTGTGATTCTCACAATGACCTTGGGAGGCAGGGGCTCTTTTTAATCCTCATTTTACAGGTGAGGAAACTGAGACAGACAGGTTAAGTGATTTGCCCAGGATCATACAAGTTGAACTTAGCACTTCTGATTTCAAGTCTGTGACTTTGCCGCCACACCGTTATCGCCACCCAATTTTAAGGATGGAGATGAAGCTATGTGTAAGTTGGGCCAGCTGCCCAACTTCATGGGGTTATTGTGAAGAAAAGTACATTATCAGCTGTAAAATGCAATAGGGGTATCTGGTTACTGTTATTCCCATAGGCTCCTGGGGACCTCAAGGGTCATCTATTCCAGTTGCCCCATTTTCTCCCATTTAAGAACTTCAGGGTGGACCTTGTGGTCCAGACAATGCTATCAGGGTCCACAGTTGGAGTCGAGGCTGGATGTTTATGAGCTCTGTGATCCTGGATGTGTCATTAACTTCTCTGTGCCTCAGTTTCCTTCTCTGTAAAGTGGCCAAAATACTGATATTCCCCTACCTCGTGGGGTGTCCTATCCTCTTCAACTGTGAAATGCCCTTGAAATATGAGCAGCTCTCAGCAGGCATTTATTAAGCACCTACTGGGTGCTGAGGACGCAAAGGTTAATGAAACAGCCCCTGCCCTCCAGGAGCTTCCATTCAGTTGATGGGAGCAGGTGAGGGAAAAGCCAGGCAGAGGAAAGGCCTCCCCAGATTTCTGCCCTCTGCAGAGAGTCTGATGTTCTGGCAAGATCTTTGGTGAAGTAGCATTGCCTGCTGTGGGGGAGGGCCCAGAGAACAGGCCGTTCTGGAGTTTAGAGGGCCGCCTGACCTTAGCTGGGGACGTGCCTCCCTGTCATGGTTCCTTATGTTTTGCACTCCCCACGACGCCAGAGCCCAGCTTAGAGAACACACATGAAGGGCTCGGTTAGTTTGTCTTCTCCCCCTGCCCCTGCTGCCTGACGGCCGACGACCGGTCATTTCCCTGCAGGTGAAGGGCCGTCCGGTCAGCATTGGATGGCAGGGCTGCGACCCCTCGAAGCTCTACACTCTGGTCCTCACAGACCCAGATGCTCCCAGCAGGAAGGACCCCAAATTCCGGTGAGTCGGAGGAAGGTGGGGTGCGGAGGCTGGTGGTGACCGCTGCTCCCAGCTGTAGCTCTTGGCTGTCCGTGGAATGGCTCCAGGCCACACGAGCAGCAGGGAGTAGCTTGGCTCTGAGCATGGGATGGCCCTGTCTGAACACACCTTAGAAACAAGGTGGTGGCCATGCTTTAGCATGTCATGCATCACTCCAGAGATGCAGGTAACGCTGGGCTTGGAGTCAGGAGGACCTGGCTTCAAATCCTGCCTCTCATCTCCTGGTTGTGTGACCCTGCCTGGGCAAGTCACTTAAGGTCTCTCAGTTTCTTCATCTGCCTCATGGGCCTGTTGTGAGGATCAGATGAAACTGTACGTGAAGAGCTCTGTAGAGCTCACAGCTTCATCTTGAGGTTTGTCACTTGCCTTCTCCACAACCAGCTCTTGGAAATGTTGTTATACCCATTTTACAGATGAGGAAGCTGAGGCTCGGATTAACGTGACTTGTCCATGGTTATTACTGGAATAGGATGCATCCGATCTCAGAGCTAGAGCTGACTCTGGCCTCAGACGCCATTGGCTCCTGTCACTGCATTTAACTTGATATAATTTGTTTTTTTGCATACAAATCCACCTGTTTCTGATGCTCAGCTTCCTTTTTGAAAAACACGTAATAATCACCGTGTTACCTTTAGAACCATCTCTTGTCCTGTTTCCTTCTGCTCCCTCTCCCCTCCCCCCAAATCCTTCCCACTGCGAAAACAAAAGGAGGCCAGAAAGCCCTGGGAACAAGTAAGCTGAGTCCAGTGTGAGCCGTGTCCAGAATCTCATTCCACACCCTCAGCCGGCTTAGAGAGGACTGTCTGAGGGGAGGGGTGTCGGCCTTTCCCGGAGGGCCCCTACAGACCCGGCCTCCTGCCCCAGCTCCTCTGGGCAGCCTCGGGCTCAGCTACAGGCTGTGGCCGTGCTGCTCCGAGAGTCATCTCTGGCTTCAGATCCCACCTCACAGACTCACTGCCCTTCTGACTTTGGGCAAGTCACTTTGACTCTCCTGGCCGCAGTTTTGTCATCTGTAAGATGGGGGGTTGGACTAGGTGTCCTCTGATGTCCCGTCCAGCTCCAGGATCCTGTGACCCAGAAAGGCCCCCGGAGAAGAAGCCGCTCATCGGCCTCCCCAGTGCCCCACTCAGGGGCTGAGGCTTTGATCTGGTGGTGGCCATGTCCAGCCGGCTTCTCGGACCTCCTCTCTGGTCCTCCCCTCTGCTTATCCTGTAACGTGGCACGGCAGAGCCTTTCCTGGGTCTGCTGCTCCGAGTGCCGGAATGGGAGCTCTGGCCTTGGGGGGCACGGACAAGAGCGTCCACCGGGTTCTGACTATACTTTTCTCACCTCAGGGAGTGGCACCACTTCCTGGTTGTCAACATGAAAGGCAGCGATATCAGCAGTGGAGATGTCCTCTCGGATTACGTGGGCTCTGGCCCACCCAAGGGAACAGGTGAGTCAGGAGGAAGTCTGGAGCTGCTTCTAGGCCTGAGCGCATGGATACGCTCTCTGGCTTCCACTTACAGATGGCTCTGAATGCACAGTCTGGGGCATGGTGGATTCCTGGATGAGCTGGGAGGGGCCTCAGAACAGGGGATGGCAGGGCCGGGAGGGGCCTCAGAACAGGGGATGGCAGGGCCGGGAGGGGCCTCAGAACTGGGGATGGCAGGGTCGGGAGGGGCCTCAGAACTGGGGATGGCAGGGTCGGGAGAGGCCTCAGAACAGGGGATGGCAGGGCCGGGAGGGGCCTCAGAACAGGGGATGTCAGGGCTGGGAGGGGCCTCAGAACAGGGGATGTCAGAGTGGGATTGGCTCTGGAGGCATTGGCTCAGAGTTGTGGATGAGCTGTGTATCTTCATTGGTGGAGGGAGTTTACACACTGGCAATTCTGTGCAGAGAAGTCTTAGAGGAAGCCGTCCTTGGGCCTCTGTGCCCTGGCTCCTGGCAGCGTCTTGCGGCTCCCCAAGCAGCATCCCTTCCCTAAGGGGCCTCACTGGAAGCCCTGGCTTCTGGCCTCTGCCTGCAGACCTCCCCCAAGGGGGCTCATCACGGGGCGTTCCTTGTGCCCCTGCAGCCTGGTGCTAGGGAAGGGGAGTCAGAGGACCGGTGTCTAAGCTGGTCATTCAGCAAGCCTTCATTACACGTCTGCTTTGTGCCACACACCATGTGAACAGGGAGACCAAGACAGAAATGAAAAGCCCTGCCCTTGAGGAGTGCCCTGTAGCACATTGACGGACATGCCAGATAACTAGACAGTGCTGCCTGTGTGTGTGCATGTGTGTGTGTGTGTGTGTGCGCGCGCGCGCGTGCGTGCATGGGCCAGACTGGGTGTCCTCCTGCACCCCCCCATTCCCTACTGCACCTACCTCCAGGCCTGGCTTTGCCTGTAGGTTCAACTCCCTCCCTTCTCTCATACCTGATGAAGCTAGCCCAGAGATGCTTCCTGGCTGTGTGACCCTAGGCAGGTCACTTTCTCTGTGCCTCAGTCTCCTCATTTGTAAAATGGAGATAAGATTTACATGAAATGTGGTCGTCATAGCACACCTGTTAGGAAGTGACCAGCTCAGAGTCACAGAGGGACGGTGTTAAGTCATAAAGCTAGAGCTTGACCCCTCATCCTCTGGCTGGAGAATGTCAGGTTTTCCCCACTGCTTCAGTCATCCTGGATGATGAGAGCTGTTTCCCCTTCTCCCCCACCCCCATCCCTCTCCCTTTGAAGGCCCTGGCTCCGAGCCCTCTGCCGCCAGGCCTGGCCGCTGTCATCTGGCACCACGTCAGTTTGTCTGTGTGTGGAGCAGGTGCCCAGCCTCAGGCAGGGCGGGATGGGGAGTGGGGCGGGGGGCCTGGGGAGCAGCTGGTGGAGGCTGGCTGCCCATGGACTGACTTCGCTGAAGCCGCAGCCCGTGACCTCTGCTTTTCAGCTGCTGCCAAAGGTGCTGATGTTTCCTCTTGGGCTTGTCACCCGAGGTCCTGCAGGCAGTGAGCGTCTGAGGCAGGATTTGAACCCTGGTCCTCTGCAGCCAGTGTTTGAAGAGCTTTGGTGGGGGTGGGGTCAGGGAATCCCATGGTGTTGCAGATGACTGGACTATAAGAGCTCCCAGGATCAGATATGCTCCAGCTCAAGGCCGGGGTGCTTAATAATAGCGAGAATAGTAGTGGTAGCTAACGTTTATAGAGCAGTTATTGTGTGCCAGGCGCTGTGCTAAGTGTTTTCAACTATCATCTCATTTTGCTTAAGCTGGGGTCCAAGAGCCCTTTACCCTCAGCCCGTCTTGGGGTCTGTGGAGGGATTTCGGGGAATCCATGAACTTGGGTAGAAAAAAGTACATCCTTATTTAAGAATAATGAGTTTCCTTTATAATCCACTATATTTTTTTCAATTCATTTAAAAACATGTTTCTGAAAAGAGGTTTGTCCCTGGGCTTCCCCAGATCCCCCAGGGGCTCCAGGACACACCCAAGGTGAAGAGCCCTTGTTTCAGTACCATGTCCTGCCACTCCTGGGGCCTGAACAAGAAGATTGCGGCTGGAGGCAGCCAGTCTCCATCACGGATAGCTGCCTGACCGGCCTCAGTGACTGCTGACACCTGTTTGCCTTGCCCCGCAGTGCTGGCCAGATAGAGAGGGGAGGGTGCCTCTCCCTGGGATGCACTCATTTCTCTGCAGTGGTTATCAAATTAGGTGGTTTAATTACGGAAGGATCCACAGGAGAAGGGCCATTCTCACAATTAGGAGTTGTGCTCTAATTAAAAAACCTGCCAACCCACTTTCTGCAGAACTTGGAAGCTCCTTGTGTGGTGGGATTCAGCTGGCTGGAGCTGGGCGTGGCCCTGCTAGGGATCCTGGCTGAGCAGAAAGTGACCCTTAGCAGCTCAGGAGGGCTTCCTTCCCATTGCTCTTAGGCTGGGCCAGGCCAGTGGGAACAGGGCTCTCTGAGCCTTCCCTCGGCTCAGACTTGCTCTCGGATCGCCCACATCCAGAAGTGGGGGAGGCAGGATTGCTAAGGGGGGGATGGGAAGAAATCATAGGCTCAGTCTGCGGGCCCCATGGGTGGCATTTGGCGCTGCCAGCTGTGCCCCCATCTGCCCTCTGCCTTTCTCCCAGGTCTTCACCGCTATGTGTGGCTGGTTTATGAGCAGAGTGGGCCACTCAAATGTGATGAACGTGTCCTGAGCAACCGTTCCGGGGACCACCGGGGCAAATTCAAGGTGGCTGCCTTCCGTGGCAAGTACAAGCTTGGGCCCCCCGTCGCTGGCACGTGCTACCAGGCTGAATGGGACGATTATGTGCCCCGGCTCTATGAGCAGCTGGCAGGGAAGTAGGCCCTGTCATCACATGACCCCTCCCCAGGCAGTGGCATCTAAGGGGCGGTGTGAGCAGATGCCCCCTCCCCCTTACTCCCACAGGCTTGACTTGCTCAGTCATTGACTGGCATGGAGTCTTTTCCTTCTGATGGTGGAGGGGGGGGCCCGGGTGTAGGATATGGGAACTTGCTTTCAGTGATGTCAGCTTGCTGGCTTAGTGGGCGGGGGGGGGGGGGGGGGAATTGAGATGTTAGTAAAAGTCATGATCTGATTCCTAGCATCCTAGTGGAGAAATAGAAATAATCTGTAAAGATGCTGATAGCTGAACATAGGTAGAATGTTGAGATTCCGCTATCTTTGTTACATCTTTGTGCTTCCTGTCCCTGGTGTCACATCCTTTTCTTCTGAGATCTTTATGGACAGAAACTGATTTTGGAGGGTCCAAGATCCTATTTCATGGCAAGTTTTCTCTTCCAGGAGAATCAGATCAGTGGGGTTCTTGGCCAATGCTTCCTCATTTAAAAAGGTTCTAAGCGAATTTAAACCAGCCTTTGTGAAGCAGCTTAGTGGGTCCATTTGTGTCATTTGCAGCTGGAAAGGCAGCGGTGGGCTTCACTAAACTCCCATTCCCCTGCCATTCCCTGAGTTGAGAAGTGTGCATGGCTGGGTTTTTGGGTTAGACATGTTTGCTGTACTCACATTTTGGTGTTAAATCTGCTGCAAGTCTTCGTTGTAAGAGAAGCAGGACTTGACTTACAAACATTTGTGTTTAATTCTGCTGTTTGCTTATTGTTGAATTAAAAAAATGGAATAACCTGGCCGCTTCCTGATTCTTTTTTCTCCACACACAAAGTGGTGCTGCAAGCAGGGGATGTGTGTTCCTTGTGGAATGGCTTCCTGTTACCTGGAGGGAACTTCTCACAATTCTTTGCAGGTGGCCACAAAGGCAGCTGGCATCAGGGGAAGCTGGGTCAACCCTGGCTTTGATGTGTCATCATTGTGTGACCTTGGACAAGTCACTGAACTCACCGTCCTTATCCGAGGAGGTTGTTGAATTAGGTGGCCTCTGCTACCCCAAACTGCGCTGACCTAGCACCCTCATTTTACCAGGGAGGGGGCCGAGGTTGAGACAGGTGCACTGACTTAGTGACGGGTCTGGCAGGACTCTCATGATGAGGTTCTAAGTCCGCAGAGAACAGCTGGGTTCACATCCTAGCTGTGGCCAGGACCCTGATCTGCGGGACCCTGGGCAGGTCACTTCCCCGGGCCTCTGTGTCCTCTTCTGCAAAATGAGGGGTGGGCCGAGAGGGTCTGACAGCCCCCCCCAGAAGAACACAGCTTATTCAACCTCAAAGGTCAAGTCCAACCCCCCCCCCTTACAGACAAGGAAACTGAGGCTTAAGGTCATACTGCCTGTTCCATTGTGGAGCTAGCACCCAAACCTAAGCCTTTCTTACTAGGGCCATCCTTCACTCCCCGAGCATTGATTGAGTGACTGTTGTGTACATCAGGCACTGCTGGGCTCATGGGACATAATCAAAAAAAGGAGAATCTCCTGGCCTCTAGGAGCTTACATTCACTCTGCAGCAAGAACAACTGTGATTTTGGAGGGCCTTTCCTTTTATCTAATAAATGGGAAGATCTGCAGAAACACGTCAGACGGGATGCTGTTGGACATCATCAAGGATGGTTTTCCTTTGAAAGGATTGATTTCCCACAGAATAACTTGGTCTCACCCAACCGCTGTCAGGCATTCCAGGGAGTGGGGCCAAAGCCGCGGGTGCTGCCAGGGTGGTGGCAGTGGCAGCGGCTGGAGGCGGGTGGGCTGCTCAAGGTGCTTCGTTACAGCCTATGGTAATCCTGAAACAATGCCCTGTGTGTGCCCGTGTGTGCGAGGGGAGGTGAGTTAGCAGTAGAAAACCTGTATTTTACTCTCCAGCAAGAAAGAGCCAAAACAATGGCGTCTTTGTCAGAAGGACTGATTGAGTTTCTTGGTCCCTATAATAAGGGACCAAGCCTGAGACCAAAGAGCCTGGTCATTACTTGGCCAGAGGCCTGGGAGCTGAAGGTCATTCTGTCCAAAGCCCTCATTTTCTGGAGGAAACAGGCTGAGAGAAGGGGAAGGGACTTGGGCACGGCCAGGGATTCCTGCTCCCTTCATCTGGGAATGTTTTATGTACAAATACTAAGTTGCCTTGCACTTCCTAGCCCTTAACCTTTTCCAGACTACACTTACGTTCATATCATTTAATTGACTGAAGGTGCTGTCACAGAAAGCCCTACCTACCAGGGCTCTCTCCTCCTAGATGGCATCCTGCGTTACTTCTTATCCTTGAGAGTAAGGGTTGTTGCTGTCTATGTTTGCATCCCCAGGGCCTGCCACAGTGCCCGGTACACGGTAGGTGCTTAATAAATGTTGATAGTTTGTTTTTAAATTGTTCCTGTACCCTCCCCTCCCAGGGTCCTCTTGGACTTGGAAGTGTTGCTTAATTCAGTTCAAGGTCACAGCAAGTCCACGCCCCCAGGTAGCCATAGGGTCATAGGATCTTAGATCTCAAGCTGGAGGAGACAGCAGGCCATCTACTCTAACGATCATATTTTACAGATGGGGAAAACTGAGGCCTAGAGAGGGGAAGTGATTTGCCTGAGGTGAGGGGTCAGTGGCAGAATTTGAACCCACATCTGATCACTTGGAAACCTGGATCAGCAAGGGCCACAAATCCTCTGAAAGCCACGTTTTAGCCAGCAATGCAGATGTCGCCACCTCTCTTACTGAGTTTGGTCAGTCATTAAAAGAATTTGTTTACTGTGATTCAAGCAATCAGCTTCCTTCTAGACCAGTCAAGTCTGTTTCCCTCTGGGCCTGTTTCCTCATCTGTAGAATGAAGTACCACAGGCTTAGAGCTGGCAGAGTCCTCCATGGCCATCTGATCTGACCTGATTTTACAGGCAAGGAAACAGGCCCCCGGGAGGCTTAGTGACTTGTCCCCAGAGTCACACAAGGAATTTGTTTTGCATGACAAGCTCCTGCCAGCTCGTAATCTGTGACCCTCTGATCCCTAGATAATTTATGCAATCTGAACCAATGAAAGTCCTGCTCACTGTGGACTCCTAACCGTTTTTCACTTTCATTTGGCTGCAGCCTCTGTCCATGCTATGCCCCATCTTATCTGTTGGGACCTTGAACTAAACACAGTCCAGCTAAAATGGACCGGAATGGTGGAGGCTGTCAAGGGGATGAGAACCGAGCAGAACCATCCCTCTCAGCAGTGGGGAAGCAGCGTCAGGGCCAGGTCAGCAGGGCCCAGCCAGCCCGTCACCAAGCATGAAACCGGGAAGCGGTGAGATAACAGGTCAGACACTTTGTGAGCTCCCAAGTGCTTTGTCAGTGTTAGCTCATTTTATCAACAGGCCACAGGTGTGCCTGCAGAGATCTTGCCTCCTCCTCTGGTCACTGCGGCCCAAGCCTTGTTTGCCTCTGCCCTCCCCTTGGCACAGTATGGCACCCCAGCCGTGGTGCAGCTGTATGGCAACTGGGTCTTTCTCTAGTCAGAAAAAAGGGAAGCAAAGTCATGACTGAGTTAGGTTCACCGTCTGCTCCTTGGAGGGTAGCAGGGACCAGCAGTGGCCCATGTCTTGTGTACCATGGCTCCCCCTGGCCATTTGGCAAAGCCTGGGGCTCCCTCCTCAGAATCAGGTAATTAAATGCATAAAATGAAACACAGGGTTCGATTAGCAAGGGAACCAATAGTTATGAAAACATTTACAAAATGTCCCTCGGCCCTAGGATAAGAACCACTGCTGAGATTATACCCATTTCACGGGTGTGGGCATATACTGTAGCTAGATACAGAGAAACATCAATTGACCAGAATGACAGGCCAGGGATGGATTTATTTAACTTTCAGGCTAATGATAGAAGAACATCTTTCAAAGGTGCTTGAACCTGTTCTCTTACCTTAGTGTTTTTTGTGGACCTGATGGTGGTTTCATTCAGAGGGAACTCCAGTTAGGGAAACTCTCTCCACCAATGAAGATCACCACCAGCGGACTCCTAGAGTTGTCTTAGAGGTTATGGGACTTGCTCAGGGTCACACAGCTGGTATGTCAAAGAGGGGCACTTGAACCCTCTGACTCCTTAGGCTGGCTCTGAGCTAATACCCATAAGAGACTTGGCACACTTCAAGGTGCCCATACACATTAGCTATTATTATTTCTTTAACAAGTGGAAATCAAACAGGGTCTTAACTGCTCTCGTTTTCATTGTCCTCTCAGCCTGATAAGGCCCAGGAGAGTGGGAGATTTGGGACGGGCCATTTACCTAAGGTCTGCGCTTTATCTGTAGGATCACAGCTCCTGAATTGGGACTTCAAAGTCCATGTATGTAGTCAACTACCTTCAGTTTATTTAAAAATTTTTAATGCCAAAAATCTATTTTCTCTTCCCACCCCCGCTCCAGAACATGCAGAGTCAAACAGAACACATTTTCTTTGTTGGTCCCGTTCAGAAGTGGTTTTCTCATTCTGCACCCTGAGTCCATCACCTTTCTGTTAGCATGCTTCCCCCCGTCCTCTGGAATTTTATCAACCCTCTTTGATGAGGGACAGACAGACAGACAGACAGACAGACAGACTAAGGCCCAGGACGTGTCAGATGCAGGATCTGAATCTGACTCAAGGACCAATGGGAAAAACCTGTTAGCCATGGTTCCACCAGTAGGCCATCAAAAATATTTGGTCACAAGGGTGCCCAGGGCTCGAGCTTCCAGCCCCATCCCACTTCTTTCCCCTGGGACTGATGCCAAGTTGCCCACGTACCTCTGCTTTGGCTTTCTCCCTCCAGTAGTGTGCATGGCCATCTGCTCAGGGCTGAATCGATGGTGGTACCCAGTCTGGTGAGCTTGGCTAAGCTGGTCCTTTGATGCCAGGCTGGAAGTCCATCCCCAGGGTCATCTTTGAAGGTTTCTCTGACCCAGTAGGGCAGGAACAGACAGAATGGCTGAGAAACCGCTCCAGGACAATGACAGGAGGGCTGTAGAGGCGGTCATTTCTCCTTCCACCCCACCCCCATTTCTGTACTTTCCAGGGTAGAGTCTGACCCTGGCTCCTGCCCTTGCTGTAAGGTCCCAGAAGATACAAGTTGACCCAACAGCCATATTCAATGCCACTTAGGGAGCAGGAAAGACCCAGAAAATGCCCATGTTTCTAGAGGATGGTGGGGGTGGGTCTCCTCTCCCCTGGGGGCTTCAGGATGTGCCTCCAGGGCAAGCTGAAAGCAAAACCTGCTCCAATGACACAGCGAGACATTGTGATGAACACTTTTATTTACAAATATAATTAAAAGCTCTGACAGTTATCATGCTCTTCCTTGGAACCTGAAAAGGGTTTTTTTGTTTGTTTTTTTAAAGTGCATGCAAAAGAAGTAAAGCATTTCTTTTAAACCATTTTTTATTGTAAGAAAATACACAGTTTGAAAGTGTGAATAATGTAATATTTATGACCAAGAGATGGGATTGGGGGGTCACGGGAGGCGGGGAAGGAGATAGAAAGAAAAAAAGATAAAGGTCTTCTGGTTGAGAGACAGTGTTGGATTCCAAATGTTGAATTGGAAAAAGGGGGGGGGGAAGAGGACGAGGAGGAGGAAGTAAAAAAATTTGATCAGAGAAACAGTTAAAATACAATATGAAAATAAGTCATACCTCTCCTTAAATTCCTTCTATACACAAAATACACGATTTGCTTAAGCCCAATTTGTGCTACTGGGAATCTGTGAGCTCTTTAAATGTATTCACATCCTCTGCAACAGCAGAAAATGATTATGATACAATCAGAATATGCTGAAGGCAAGTGAAACCCTTGCCAGCAGGTTCTTAAAAATCACAATATCTCTGCCCACCCCGCCAACCCCCCCTCCCCACCCCAATCCCCAAAAAAGTAATTAATATGTCACCACTGATATGTACATCACAATTAGATTCTGTAAAATGTATCAAATTTCTCAATCTTTAATAAAACTTTTTTAAATTCCTGATGAATAAATACCAAAAAAAAAAAGAAAGAAAGAAAAGGAAAGAAAGAAAAGGAAAGAAAGAAGAATGCAGCAGCTATTTAAGGTGTAAGGCTGCGGATACTGTGTCTCTCTCCCCCTTGGCATTTAGAATTTTTTCATTATTATTATTATTTTTTTGCTTGACTTTCATAGGTTGGTGGTAATGAGTGATTGCATTAAAGAAACATACATCCAGTTTAAAAAAATTATTTGTTGATCTGTTGGTTTTTTAAAACTGTCTCCAGAGTTTTCACTGAAACATTTTATAATCACATCAATACTGTGACGTACTATGAATAAAAGAGTGGGCCGGGGGTGGCCAGCACTGAAACTTGACACGGGGGGAGGAAGGGGGCCCTGACGGAGTAAGAATATACAGGCACTAGTCCGACACGATGTCAGTAAGAGCAAGAGAGAGAGAGAGCGAGAGCGACGCCCGTTCCGATGGGGAATGTGGTTTTGAAGGGTTTTAATTTTCTTTTTCATTTTTTTGTGTGTAAATGGCAAAAGAATTTCATCTCATCTATAGTCCTCCTTAGGGTAATCTAGTGTAACCAAATTCCCAAATCCCATTCGAAGGCTCTCCATGTCAAAGGTTTCAATCTCGCGCTCTTGTCTTTCCAACAGAAACTTGATCCTCTCGCTACGCTCCTTCTGAAGGGCGGCCAGCTCCTCTTCAATCTGAAACAAGCACAGGGGCTGGTCTCTTGCCCGCCCGCCCACCCACAGCCCGCTGGGCACGGGTCAGCCAAGGTCCTACAGGGTCAGCAGGCACCTGAGCCGGAGGCTTCCATCCCTACCGACAGGACCTCACACATTACGGGATCACATAGATCCTTTGCTGCCAGGGACCTTCGAGGCCATCAGATTCAGCCCCCTCATTCTGCAGAGGAGGAAACTGAGGCCCAGAAGGGATAAGTGACTTGTCCAGGGTCATACTGTTAGGTCTAAGGATCTTAGATTTCTAGCTGGAAGGGACCCTCTTATGTCACAGATAGAGAAACTGAGGCTGAGAGGTGGAGAAATTTGCCCAGGGTCACCCAGACAGCAAATGTCCAAGGGTCAAACAGCTAAGTAAGGTTGTAAGGATCGTAGTCCAGCACCTTTACAGATGAGGAAACTGAGGTCTAGCTCGCGTCAAAGGCAGATGCAGAACCCAAGTGTCCCGGGCTTTCCCCCCCAGGCTAGGCTGCCTTTGTGAGGTAGGTTCAGGCTCTCCCGGGCCCCCCAAGGGAGGGCTCTTGGCTTAGAGTAGCCCCCGGACTACATACCTTTTGCTCAAGATGTGCCCTTCGGAGAGACACCCTCTGCTCCAGCTTCTGGAGCTCTCGCTCGTGCTGGGCCTCCGTCTGCATCTTGATTTTGCTCTGGTAAGCGTTAAGCAGCTCCATCTCCTGCTGCAGCTGCAGCCTCAGGGCCTGGCACTCGGCTTCTTGGGCCTCGTCCAGTCTTAACTGGGGGGAGGGCATAGAAGACACAGCAGAGCCTCAACACTCAGCTCTCCCGTTTAGCAGTCCTTAATATCATTCTCCCCTCCCTCATTAGACCGTGAGCTCCCTGAGGGCAGGCACTGTTTTCGCCTCTTTGTACCCCTAGGTCTGTCCCAGAGGAGGTGCTTGTTGACATAATTTGACTCCTTAGGCATTCTCATTTTGTGCTGAAGTAGAGGGACAAGCCCTTGGTGCTCTGGGGGCAAAAGGGGTAAGGAAAGGGAAGCATGGCACAGCTGACCCCCATTCCACTGAGCTCTCAAAAGGTTTGCTTGCCAGCACTGAAGAGGAAGCTGAGATTGAAGCCCTGGACTTGGGAGCATCGGGGCCCAGGGCCCGGGGTATGGGACCCCGTCTTGGACCTGGCACAGGCTTCCCCTGCTAGGTCCAAGATTGCCTTCAATCTGAGAATTGCCACCAGTTGTCAGAAGAATGGGGGTATCACCAGAAGGCGCCAGACCACAGAAGCAGCCTTCAAAACACATTTTTATCAAACTGAATTGAAGATGAACTTGCTTAAGACCATAGGGTGTTGAGCTGGAAGGCAGTCTCGCAAACTTCTGGTCAAACCCCTTTATTTTACAGATAGGGAAACCGAGACCAAAGGAAGAAAAACATCTTGTTCAGGATCACACAAGACAGTCCGTGTCAGGATATGCACTGAATCTGGGTTTCCATGTTGCAAACCCAATGCTCTCTCTGCTGTCCCACACTTCTGGGAGGCCATTCATAGTGACCCTGCAGATGCCCTGGTTCTTCCTGCCCCTTCATGTGGCCCCAGCACTCACCAGCTCCCATGGACAGGTTCCACTAGTCCTCCCTCTACCCGCCAGCATTTCTTAACATCCAGTCCCACGTGACAGACTAATTTTTTCTTTTCTTTTCTTTTCTGTCCGACTCTGTGATTTCATCAAAGTAAAGAATTCCTGCTGTGGAAACTCCCTCCATTGATGGTAAGTAACTCATGGGCAACTTTAGGGTCTTAGAATTACGCAAGGGAATGTGTTTGAGACAATGAGACCATGGAGAAACAAAAGGCAAAGTCCAGCTAAGACTGGCTTGGGAAATCCTTGTCAGCTGTCCAGCCAGCGGCCCCGGGATGTCAGGACTTGTACTTAGACCAAAGGCCAAGCACAAGGTTATAGGTTGGGGAATGGGCCAGCAGCAGCCCAGGGGACTATATAAAGAACACCAGGCTATGGAAGATTCCTGGATGGTGGTGTCCAGAAAGAGTAAGCTCTTGCTCCCATGCAGATATAATAATGATGGTAATGATAGCTAGAATTTATATAGCACCTACTATGTGCTAGGCATTGTGCTAAGCTCTATAGAAATATCTCATTTGATTCAATAAACCAGGGAGATGGGTGCTATTTTTCTCATTTTACAGATGAAGAAACTGAGGCACTGAGGTTTGTCCCCTTGGACAAACAAGAGACAGATGAGCGGGCAACAGCATAGTTAGGTGGGTTGGGAAGGAGTTGAATGGCTGGAGTGAAAGGATGGTCATCAATGGTTCCATGTCAACTCGGTGGGAGGACACCAGTGGAAAGCCCCAGGGATCCTGTACTTGGCCATGTGATGTTTCATATTTGGCAGTAATTTGGATAACACGTGACAAACAAGGAATTCCGAAGAAGCAGTGTGAAGAATTTTAACAAAGAAACGTTTAAGCACAAAAGAACACAAGTGAGAACTAGAGAGAAACAGTGAACATCTGCCAGGAAGACACTGGTCTCTTTCAAAGTGAACCAAAAACCAAGAAGGTTCCCAGCACAGGGTGAAACCCTTTATATGCAAGGGCACAGACAAGGGGTGAAAAGAATGGGTGGATAATACCCATTCAATGAATTGGCAAACATTTATTAAGCCCTTACTATATGCTAAGCTCTGGGGACACAAAGAAAGACGGGCATGGTCCCTGCTCACAAGGAACTCACATTCTAATGGCGGAAACAACATGTAAGTAACTAGGTACATAGAAGATCTCTCTCTCCATCCATCCATCCATCCATCATCTATCTATCCATCTATCTATCTTCTCTCTATACAGAGGTTTATAAATATAGATCTATTCGCTATATAGATCTGTTTACAGCTCTATAGCGAGTAAGTGGGAGGTAACTCAGAGAGAAAGGCACCAGGAGGGGGTGAGGAGATGGGGAAAGGCTTCTAGGTGAGATTGGAGCTGAGTTCTGAAAGAAGCCAGGTGAAAATAAAAGGCAGAAGTGAGAGGGCAGAGTATTCTTGGCATGAGAGACACAGCTAGGCAAAAACATTGAGGTGGGAGATGGAGCAGGAACACCAGGTAGGCTAGTGTTGCTGGATTATACAGTATATGGAGGGGAATAAAGTATAAGAGGACCAACCTAACTTTTGGTCCATATGGCAGAAGGAGTACCCATCCTGATGAAATCACAGAGCCATTTGGCTTTTTTTTTTTGACATGCTTACCAAGTCTGTACACAAAGCTACTAGATTGGATGATTTTGCCAGGATCCATAGGCTAGGAGCCTGGTGTTCAAAAACTGACTTTAAAAGTACAAGCCAAGCCTGGCCTGATCAGACAGTGGTTTGTGTGAAAAAGATAAAGGATTTTAGTGGATGGAAAACTCAATGTGAGTCAGCCATATGATACGGCAACCCAGAAAGTGAATGCACTTTTCAGCTTCATTATGAGACAGGCCGAGTGTTCAGGCCTGGGGAGGATGATGGGCCTGCTGTGGTTTTAGGAAAGACACTCAAAGGCTGCAGAGTGTCCAGAGAGTGATGGCAAGGAACCTCAAGACCATACTAAACAGGGAGAAAGGAAATTGGGCTTTTTCACCCGAAAAAGAAAAAATTGAGGCAGATTTGAGATTGATATAAGGGAAAAAAACCCCACTTCCTACCAATTTAGACCTATGCAAAAGTGGGCTGGGCTGCCTGGGGAGGTGGTGAGTTCCCCCTCAAGGCCTTGTCGAGGACATCTTGTTCAGGTCTGGGTTGGAGGAGGTGGCTTAGGAGGTCCTTCCCCAAGGAGGACTTCTGGGGTTCTGACTGGTTGTTCTTGGCCCCCATTGACAGAATGAGGAGCACTGGGCGGATTTAGTTTGGATGTAAGAACAAAACTTTCTAACCATTTAGTCTCTTTACAACCTGGCCTCAACCTGCCTTTCCAGCCTTATGATACGTCATATTCCCTTCATTGCAAGGTCAAACTGGACTTCTTACTGTTCCTCATACTTGACACCCCTTTCCCGTTTTTCTGGGCCTTTATCTTGGTTCTTGCACATGCCTGGAATGCTCTCACTCATTCCTCCCACCTCTCAGGATTCCTAGGCTCCTTGACCACTCGGCTCTACTGACACCTGTTACGTGGAACTTTCCCTTATGGCTGGCTCCCAGCCCTCCCAAGTCATATCTGTTTTGTATGTATCTATATATGTGCATGTTTTCTCCCTGATTAAATGTATGCTCCACAAGGGCAGGGTCTATTTTGCTTTTATCTTTGATACCTAGCCTAGCATAGTGCCTGGCACATAGTAAGCGCTATCTAAATGTTAGCTATTATTATTGAATGAGGTAATAATTGTAAAGTTCTTAGCACAGTGACTGGCATATTGTTAGCATTATATAAATGTTAGCTATGATGATGATGATGGTGAAATAAATCATATCCATATGGATATTTTTAATAGTAAAATTAGAAGGCAAAGAAATTGTCATTAAATGGAAGGACAGCTCACAGGTTCTTGGGGAGATGAATATAGTCAGGTCCTAATTTGTGTGACAAATGAACCCCTGGAAGTGGTAGCATGTATTTGGATTCACATAATTTAAAGTTAAAATTATATAAAATACGGTAGTTGGTGCCAGCCCAATGTAATAATGTGATCACTTCTGGGGACTCATTAATCACATTATTCAGGACCTACATGTACAAAAGCTGGTTTCATCTAGTGTTCAAAGTCAACAAGAAGCATAATTCTTTTTTTTTCTTTTTTATATTTTTAATTATTTTGTTTTTTTTTATTTTTTTAGGAAGCATAATTCAAGCATGGATCCCTTGGTCACCTTGCTTTATAGGCTCACATATGATGAGTATGGGTGAAGAGATCAGCATTGTGTTCCAATAATTGCTCCAAAGCAACTCTACAAAGATCTCAAAAGGATCTTCTCAAGCAAGTCAGCATTGGGCCAGATACTCAGTACCTTCAATGCAAAAGTGGGCACAGAGGAAGATGGTGAAAGGTATGTTGGAAACTATAGTTTGGTCTTAAACAACCTAAGAGGCCAAAGGCTTGTAAATTACTCATAAGCCTTGACTTTCTTCAAGAAGAATTAGAAAGTCCTGGCCATGGTGAGCACTGAACAACCTCACAAAAAAATAAAATGAACGATGTCTCCCCTCGAGACAGGGGACAACTTACTGACATAGGAGTCATTCTAGAATCAGGTGGCTAGGTTGTAGTTAGACCATTGGCTGGTTAGAGCACAAGTCAAAGTGAACACCAGTTAAGGATGAAGGTGAGGATGTTATATGAGATCATGGTGCCCTCGACGCAACCTACTTCAATGAGCTAATGACTCAGAAAAATGCAAAGTCACTGAATCAGACTTCTGGCAATTCTCAGAGAATCTGTCAGAGTCCTTGGACTTCATGATACCCAAGTTATAGGAGCTTTACTTCCGGGGAGTCCGACAGCAGCAGCCAACGGCTTAGTCCACACCTCATCTGTTTGCGCCCTTATCTGCTGCCATCTGCATGAGGCTGAGGAGCAGGCACTGAGGGTGGGTGGTCTGGCCCCTGGGGCCTCATCACTAATCATTCTGCCCCCACTGATGTCTTACAACCATAGAGCAGTGAGCTCTGCCAGGAGCAGCTCTAGATAGATTCTGTGCCAAAGGGTACTCACTGTGTCAAGGGTAACTCTGAACCTTAGGAGACCAAAAATATCAGGGGGCCTTCACTTCTGGGGACT